CATGTTGGGTTTATACAATTATTTTCACTCATTATAACAACACTGATCGGTGTGTGTGTGTCTGTGTGTGTGTGTCTGTGTGTGTCAGGTCTCCAGTGACGAGCCCCAGCGACTTCACGGCCACCAGAAGCACCATCATCCAGCTGGGCCTGGAGCTGACCTCCACCGTGCAGAAGGTCAGTGAAGGTCACAGGGAGCAGCCAGCAGGAAGTGATGTTGGCTCAGCGGAACTGGGATCGGTGTTGGATCTGACCCGGTTCTGCTGTTCTGGTTCCGACCCGCTGGGCGTTTGGACCTCAGGTTTGAATCTGAGGCTTGGTCAGCAGCTCCTCCCTGTTTGCCTCCAGCTGCTTCCTCTGCTGCTCTTTGCTCAAACATTTGTTTTTCCATGCTGTGCTGCAGCTGCAGCTCCAGGTGAAGCTCTGAGGTCGTTAGTAAAGTTGTAAAGTGTGACTTTAGTTTGAGGAGACGAACTCGGAGAGTAAAGATGTCTCCTGCCTGGTTCTGGTTGGGTCCAGAAGCTGACGGCTCTGTCCTCTGTGCCTGCAGGACTGCAGCGTGTTCCAGATGGAGGAGAAGATCCTGGAGGTGGTGAGTTCACTTCCTGCTGCTCCATTGTTGGTTCAGAGCTGGAATGTCCGCTTCCTGTCTTAGATAACGCTTCCTGCTGGAGCGGAAACCGCCCAAAGTGTCCAGCTGCAGCATTAGCATTAGCATTAGCTCTGCGGTCCAGCTGCAGGTTCAGCTCTGCAGCCAGTTAGGCCAGTCTGCCCCCTGTCTGCCAGCAGCTGCGACTGCAGCAGAATAGAGTCCAGATGTGGAAGCAGAACAGATGTTTCCTTCAGCTCCTCCCAGTCGGAGTCAGGTGAAGCTCCTGCTGGACCGGTCCCACCAGGTTCTGATGGCAGAACGTTTTCCTCACAGATTCACATTGTTTCCAACGCCAACGAGGAAACAAACACTAGAGGAGCAAATCAATAAGATCGCAGCTTTCAGGCTCAAACATTGTTCTGGTTTGGATTTTCTCTTTCTGTGACCGGAGATTCATCAACACAAGGAATATTGGAAAAAAATCTGAAAATAACTGGCAGGAAGAAAAGCGTGAAACGATTTCTGTTGTGGCCCCACTTGGTTGGTTGTTCTGTTGGATTGTATCCATTTTAATTTGTATTTTTTATGTCTCTGTTTGATAGTCTGTAACGTTTATTTATGATTAATTGGTGAATAAAAACCAAAAGTGACGTTTTGGGTTTCCTGTTTCAGTCCCAGGCTCTGAACAGCGTCTGTGAAAAGACGGTCCAGGCGACCTCTGACCCCTCTAACACGGAGCCGTCCTGCCTGGAGGAGGTTCACATCACCAACGTCAGGCCTGGGGAGGGACTGGTGAGTTCAGGAGCCGTAGGAACTCTGAGCTCTGACCTGCAGCTCTGACCCTCACACTGTCTGATCTTCCAGGGGATGTACATCAAATCCACCTATGACGGCCTTCACGTCGTCACGGGAACCACGGAGAACGTGAGTCTGCAGCCGGAACCGGCTGTTGGTGGAACCAGAACCCAACACTAACCGGGCCGGTTCTGGTTCCGTTCAGTCTCCTGCAGATCAAACCCAGAGGATCCACGCTGGAGACGAGGTCATCCAGGTCAACCAGCAGACTGTGGTGAGTTCAGGGTCATCAGGCAGTCACCAAAGCGCTCCGGGTGATAAACACATCTGATCTTCACATCAAACCAAGATTCACATCAGAAAAATCATTAAAACATGAATCTGTTCTGCATGTGAACTGAGTCTTTGTGAAGTTTCCGTTCAGGCTGGAAAGTGATCAATAGACACAGATCTGAACCGGATCAGGTTCTGGATCAGGAGCGTTATCAGAGTTCCTCAGGTCTGAGTGTAGATCCCTGAGGAACTCCACCCAGGAACAGAGCAGATTCATTTACCTCCTTCAGCCGTCAAACTCTGTTCATAGGTTTGGAGCTACTGCATCTGGAGCTAGGCTAGGCTAGCAGTTTTCCTTACTAAGTCTCTATACTAAGCTAACCAGCTTCAGATTCCCTTCTCTGTGATTGGTCCAGGTGGGCTGGCAGCTCAAACACCTGGTGGAGAAGATGAGGGCTGAGTCTGGCAGCATCACCTTGGTGCTGAAGAAGAGGCCTTCAGGAACGTCGGGAATGGCCGCCGCTCCGCTGAGGAACCTGCGCTGGAGACCGCCACTGGTGCAGGTGAGCCAACACTAATGCTAACGCATCATCCAAGTTTCTGATGTCCACAGCTTACATGCAGCACCTGAACGCACCGCGTCTGCAGAGGATTTAAGATGCAAAAAGTCCTTTTCTCAGGGGCAAAGGAGTTGAGATTTTAACCCAGAAACAGATTCACGTCCTAACCTCTAGGGGGCAGTAAGAGCTGGTTTCAGCAGCTGGAGCCTGAAGAGAATCAGAGAATGAGCCACACCTGAGATCAGCTGCAGTTAGACCTGAAGATGCTCCAGCTCCTTCAGTCTGTTTGTGTTTGCAGAACAATGGAGTCGTTTTTCCTGCTCTTCCCTGAAAGTATCGGAGCAGGAAAAGCTCCGGACTCCTAGCAGGAAGACTCCCAGCGGGCCGGGTCGGGCCAAACAGGATGTGACTGTTCAGAGGAGAAACTTCCTCACAGGTCAGGGTTCAGTTCTGACTCAGCGACCCGCTCCAGAACCTCAGCCTGTGTTCCTGTTATCAAACCCTGGTTCTGGCTTATCTGGGCCACATGGTGGCACCCATGGGCTAACAGGAAGTCACAGAAGAGCAGGACTTTCAAAATAAAACAGAATACTAAAGCATGGTTGACCTGTGGAGCTCCACCAGAAGCCGGAGCAGCTTCTCTGTTTGGGAACGTTTGAACGTCCAGGCAGACATCAGCAGTAAGCTGTGGGTTCGGTTGCGTCTCTTGCAGACGTCTCGGGGCGCTCCGGATGTCTACGGATCTCCTCAACCCTCCTACGCTGCAGGCAGGAGAGGGAAGACCTCCATCCTGGATCTGTACATCCCTCCACCTCCAGCAGCTCCATACGTTCCTCTGTGAGTTGCTGTCCTCCGTTGGTTTTCCTCCTGCCTTTCCATCTGTGACTCTGACCCTCGTCCTCCTTCCTGCAGGGAGCTCAGCGTCTCCTCACATCCCACGTCTCCAAACTCGTCTCTGGACGCAGACGTCCGCCAACGCCTCGCCGATGATCCTCCTCCTGAATTCAAGCAGCTGGTCCCGATCCGCCTCAGACAGCGATCCGCTTCCCGTGGTGCGTGAAACCGGAGCCTTAGTGCTTCTGGAGCAGCAGACGGTCTCTGGATCCAACTGGACCATTAACCTGGTTCTGATGGTCCAGCTGGGTCCTTGTTTGCGCTAGATGTTTATCCAGTTTGTTTGCCAAAGTTCTGACCTGGTCCACTATGATCTGAACTGAAAACATCCTCCCCACATGGTTCAGTAAGAACCGGATCAGAACAGTGTTCTGAGCGGTTCTGGTCTGGTTCTAAAGGATTCTGTTTGCCAACCTGTTCAGGTAAACCCCGACCCGTCTCCATGCCAGTCGACTCTGTCCTGGGCGTCTCTGGGTCTTCGTCCAAACGCAAAACTCGGGGAAGGAAAGGTAAGTTCGCCCGTCCTGTTGGTTCTGGTCGGCCCGGACCGCCTGAGAACATCCATTCACTGCTTCTTGCTCTCCATTCTTAACAGGTCGAGACGAGCTGCACCGGTACCTGAGCAACGAGCGGATCAGCGCCATCGCCGAGGAGGAGCCGGCCTTTGGTATGCCGTCCCGCAGATCGCCGTCGGTCCGCGGCGTCGACCACATCAGAGGCAGCCGCTGTCTGGTCGGCGCCGACCTGCACAACAGCGCCACCATGCCGTACCAGGAGGCCGCCGCCACCAAGAAGCTTCCTGCTGCCACACAGACCAGAGCCAAGACCGGGTCAACTTCTGTCCTGGGCGGCTGGCTGGCCCGGCTCAGACTGCTCAGTCACTGAGGAGGAACGTCAGGAACGCCGGGAGGTTCCTGCTGAAAGACCCGCTTCTTTCAGCGACACTAACACAGAGACTCGTCTGAACGTTGAGCTCTGAACGGGGTCAGAAGACGTCATGTTCCTCTGGTCCAGGTTCCTACGGAAACGCAGAGGTTGGATCCGCTCATCATGCTGAAGATGTGATGCACTCCGGTCCTTCAGAGGCCTGATCCAGTAACTGGTCATGGACCAGAACCTGCTTCATCCATGACCCAGCCAGAGGATCCTGAACAGCTTCCATTGTTCTGCTGAAGAGGAGCAGACATGAAGAAGATCATTGGTGATGTCCTGAACTTTGACATTGTTTCTGTTCCTTCTGGATCTGCTGCAAGTTAAGCTTCAGGCCCAACCAGAACCAGGGTTCTACTGACTGACTTCAGATTCCTGGAGCTCCAAGTCAGGAGCCCTGCAGAACCCTCAGGGAAGTGTGTTTTTGTTCGTTTGGGAAGAACAGATGTTTAACTCACAGGAAGTTTATTTTTATAAATCTGGATCCTGTTGGACTCTCAGGAGTCTCGACCTGCTGGTGAACGGACAGCTTTTGCTCCGATGTTTCAGGAAGCTGCTGATCTGCTAAGGTCACATGATTACATTTAACCGTTTCTGCTTCATGCTGTCTGATTGGTCCATCAGCTCAATAAAGTGGAATTTAATAAATGTTCCTGCTTTGCTCTTTGTCCTGGTTTTACTTTCATGTTTCAACACTGACAGGGTTAACTCATGAACCAGGTCGCGTTCTGAATGTTAAACCGGTTCTGGAGGAGAATCCTGCTTTTGTAACCGTCTGACAGAAGTTGGTGAGGAAATGCTGCCCCCTGCGGGGCGGCTGCAGGAACTGCATGTTTCCTGCAGGGTGGAGTCCTATTGTAGCTCTGAGTCTTCACCCAAACATAAGCGGTTTATTATCACTGATGTAAGTCCTGCTAATGTAGTTCAACATTAGCAGGATGTTAAACTACTAAACAGTTAAATCTGGTGGTAAAAATCAGGCTCCATCAGCAGAGGATCAGGAGCCAGGAGGAACACCGGCTGGTCCAGATCCTCCCCACCAGGACTCTACATCAGGGGGTCCAAAGTGAGGCACATGGTTGATGAGCTCTGATAAACCTGTTTGTAAATTTCTTATTGTATTAGTTCCTTCAACTGAGAGTGATTCTAGATGTATGGTTTGAGCTAAGGAACGTAAAATATGAGGAACAGACTTGAAGGGAACTACGACTAGTTATAACAATAGACCTTATATGGGAAATATTTATCTCAGATGTAAAAACAATACAATAATAATAATAATTTAATTTGTACCGCACTTTTCATTAGCAAAAATCTCAAAGTGCTCCACAGTGCAACTAAAATCATAGATAAAAACAGCATCACATAAATCATGTGGAGGCAGAATAGGCTTGTTTAAATAGAAAAGTCTTTAAGCCTCTTCTGAAGTGAACCAGTGGTTGCTGAGCTCTCAAATAATCTGGGAGAGAGTTCCAGAGACGGGGGGCAGCCCAGCGAATGCCCGATCTCCCATGGTCCTTAATCTGGATCGAGGAAGGTGGAGGAAGTTGCAGTCTGGTGGATGAATGTGGAATGACAAGGTCCTTCAGATAATCTGGTGAAGTTCTGTTTAAACATTGATGTGTAATGTGAGCAATTTTGTACTGAATTCTGTAGGTGACAGGAAGCCAATGAAGGTCATGCAGAACAGGTGTAATATGGGCAGATTTACGGGCCCTCAATGAATCCTGGCTGCTCTGTTCTGAATGTATTGGAGCTTCTGGAGATGTTTTCTATGGATTCCAGTGAACAGAGAGTTGCAGTAGTCGAGCCTGGAGGAGACAAAGGTATGGACGAGAGTCTCGGCATCAGAGAAAGAGAGAGATGGACGAATTTTGGTGATATTGCGAAGATGAAAGAAACAGGTTTTAAATAGATGCTTAATATGATTTTCAAATGTAAGATGAGAATCCATTCTAACTCCAAGATCTGTAACAGTGGTGGAAAGGGGGATGTCTTGTCCAGAGAAGAATATTGTCATCAAAGTTGAAGATTGGACCTGGTGAGGTGTTCCGATCAACATGGCCTCAGTTTGGAGCAGTTTAACTGAAGAAAGTTCTGATTCATCCACGTCCTCATCTCCTCCAGGCAAGTGGTGAAGGCAGTGAGTGAAAATGGTGATGATGCTCCAGTTCTAATGTAA